GGGGGAATAAGATGAGGGGGGAATAAGAAGAGTGGAGGGCGGGGAATAAGAAGAGGGGAGGGGGGGAATAAGAAGAGGGGAGGGAGGGAATAAAAAGAGGGGAGGGAGGGAGGGAATAAAAAGAGGGGAGGGGGGAAATAAGAAGAAGGGGCAGCTCTATAGGACAGGGGCCAAGACAGGGAGCTCTTTCACACTACGCGCGCACACACACACAATGCATCCCTATACATACACAGAAACACAACATGCTTCCCTTACACACCGAGAAACACACAATGCATCCATTACACACACTCACACAATGCAACCCTTACACACAAAGACAATGCATCCTTTGCACACATACACAGAAACAGACAATGCAAACCCGTACACACGCATGCAAACACACACACTTCTTTTCTTACATACACACAGAAACACAATGCATCTCATGCACACACATACAGACACACACCTTGCATCCTTTATGCATACAAACACAGATTCACACAATGCATCCCTTACACACAACCAGAAACACATAATACATCCCTTATACACAAATACACACTGCTTCCACTACACACAAACACACTCCATCACCTGCACAAACTGGTAACCCTAAACACTACATACCATAAGCACACATATTAGATCCTCTACAATAACACATAACACATCCCCTACACACTCCACCCCCTGTGAGCGAACTCATGGGTGGGTGGAACTTATGAGTGGGCCTTATGGGCATACTCACCGTCAGGCCCTGGGGCCCAGACCTTGAGCTGTGTAAGGGGCCCCAAAAAAATTGAGCTGCTTCCAATTCTCCCAGAACATTGAATTTTGTGACCACAGCTGCAAACAGCCTCCAGAGATCCTGTTCTACACCAGACCAGTGGAGCCAAACTGCAGCCTATCATCATCCTCATCTGGTTGTAAGTAGGCAATCTAGTATATTATTAGTGACACTAATCTATAATTTACCTCACATTAAAGGGACACTATAGCTTAATGAAGTGGTTCTGGTGTCTATAGCTGGTCCCTGCAGGCTTTTTAATGTAAATACACACTGTGTGCAGCACTGGCGTTAGTTCATATGGCAGGTCATATGGGTGGGGCATTGTGATGTGACATGTGGGGGCAGCAAATTTTTATTTTGTCTAGGGTGGCAAAATCCTTGAACCGGCTCTGATTCTGGGCAGGTGCACCAGTCTACTTGACTGGTTTTGCCACCCAGGCCTAAGGCTGCCAGCCCTCCCCTGGCCGCTGGGGAGGTCTTTTGGCGGCCGCTGGCGGACTTGTCCTGGCGGCCGCTGAGGGAGCTGCGCGAGCTGCGCTGGCTCTGCTCCCCAGCACGCAGCTGAATGAGACCGGCGCCGGAATATGACGTCATATTCCGGCGCCAGTCTCATTCAGCAGCGCGCGAGGGCTGGAGGGCACTAACACAGGAAGCACCTCTAGTGACCGTCTGAGTGACTGTCACTAGCAGTGTCACTTTGAAGCAATGTAAACACTGCCTTTTGTCTGAAAAGTCAGTGTTTACGTTGAAAAGCCTGTAGGGACATGCTATAGACACCAGTACCACCACATTAAGCTGTGTGTGTGTGTATCAATGAGCTTGTGTGTGTCACTGAAATGTCAGTGAAATTGCCTGTGTCTGCATGTGTGTATGCTTACTGTATAATTAAACGTTTTACCCCGAAAGGACCAATATTTTATATTAGAAAAAGCAATATATATATATATATATATATATATATATAAATTACTCCATCATCTGTCCTGGCAAGACATAGCCTTGCATATTACACGCGACAATATATGGCGCAGTGACTTATGGGGCTGGCACAATTTTTTTTTCCAGGGCTGCTTTGTATCCCCAGTCCAGCCCTGGTGATAAGGTTGGGTATTTGAGGTGGGTAAGGCTCCATGGGGCTGCGGATTGTGGTTGATAATACCCTTGGTCCCAGGAGTTCATAGAAGTTGCTCCGCCCCCCCATATAATCCTAATTTAACCGGTCGAATGCCTTTTCGGCTTCAAACGCTAAAAATAATGTTTGTATCTGATATTTTTTTGCTATGTCAGTTAGTGATATATATCTTCTAGTGTTATCAA